TACCTACTAAAAAAATTTAAGTAAAAAATATAGCAAATTTTATAGTTTGACGACGTTATAATTAACAATAGGCAAATGGAAAAAATTACCTAACTACATATTAGAGACATAATTCCATACCTAGAAATACCGTATGGTCGAAAAAAACGGCGTCCAGAATGGCTTGAAAATAACAATCGGTGACATTCTCCATAAAATTTTACACATAAATTGACAGCGATCTTTATATCATAGCCATCGCTGACGCCGTTTTTTTTCACGACCATATTGTATTTCCCATTAATCGCATGGTGGCAATACTAATTTATATTTAAAGAGATATATCTAAATGTGTATAAACTAGGTATTTTATTAGCAATCATATTTAAGCTATTATGACTCATATCATATTCTAATTATTTGAAACTTGAAACATAATATTTACTCCTATTATATTCATGTAACTAAATTTTCTAATATTAATAACTCTCTGATAATAAAAAACAAGAGTGTGTTTTGAAAAAGTAAAGCATAATTACTGTGTATTGACTTTATTGTGAAAAGCAACCTATTTGAAACACATTTACGTAACTACAGAATAGTTTAAAAAAGAACTTACACACATGTTTTTTTAGTCTATTTTCTTTATTATATTTGAAAACTACAGTCCCCCTTCCAATACATAAAAACATTTATATTCAAATATACTCTAGATAGAGCTCCAATTTTTATATGAAATGAGAATTTGTTCACACATAAACTACCGTATGATCGAGAAAAAACGGCGTCAACGATGGCTATGAAATGAAGGTCGCTGTCATTTTATATGTAAATTTATATAGGAAATGTCATTGATCGTCATTTCCCAGCCAACTGGACGCCGTTTTTTTTTCGATCATATGGTACATTTTATGTATTTTATTCTTTAATTTTAATTACTACAAATGGTCTTGATATTTTTCTTTTGAATACATATATTCTTGTTACTCTCTTTCATCTTTGTCTCTAATATACAGATGCATTGCAATTTGTTGTTAGTATATTTATGTAATCATTTCATAAATCCTAAAAATAAAAATGGTTATAACATGCTTTCCAGATATCCATATCCACAATATTCTGTGTGTAAATATGTTCAATTTTTAATAACCCATTCACTAAATGAGATTGTGAGACAACATACAGGTAGCTGTTTAAATAATTTTCAATCTTTGTATGTAATAATAGATTTCACATATTATATGCATTACACAATATGCATTACCTGCAATAATAAAAGATATTTTCTTTAAAGTGTATAATTCTATCTAACACACTTCTAATAAAGTATACTCTGACTCTTTGAACATTTGTTACAGCTTCTAATAATTAGGTATATCGATAACTTCCTAAGAAATTTTGTTAGCACTTTTAGTTAGTTTACCATTTTCTCAATATATTCTGCATAATATATGACTCGATACATTCACCTAGAATAAAATCAATAATATCATTTATGAATAGAAAACTACATGTATAACTTTTTCGTTAATATTTGCAATTTCAGACCAGAACTTGTCCGAAGAGAACTTTCTTGGTTTGTTTAAAAATATCTTACCGTATAACATAAATTTACATCTGAATTAATCTAATCAGATCAAATTTTCTTCATAGTATAGAAAACATCGAAACTATTTGACTGGTAATCGAGCTATCAATAAGCTGACACTAAAATTTAATGCATAATTAAATGGGATAATTATTTTCATGTAAAACAAAACTTTATACTTAATAAGACCACAGGGAGTACATAATAACAGTGTTACTGAGATTTTTGATTTAATGTATTGCTTGGTATTTGTAGATCTATTATTGTATTGTGATTACAATTGCCTTCTTCTCCATTGATGCATCCTAATTTAAGATTACTGATTTTCTAATACATAATTAAAGTGAAATTATTTTTCCTACCATTACATAATTAATTTCTTCCTACCATTAGGTAGATACCTGAAAGGTTAATAAATTAAAAACGAATTTATTAAGACATTTAAACTGTTTACCTCATTTCTCACATATTTTTGACACCAAACATTATAAATAAATCAAAAAATATTCGTATACCAACTGAATTATATGATATTTCATTTTGAATAATAAAAGTACTTTTTTACAGGTTTATTTGGCATTGTTTGCATTGTTTTTTGTTGTTTTCTGTTTTGTTTTTGTGCGAGTTTAATAACCCACGATTAACCTTAAACATAACCTTAAACTACACACCATACTAGGGATGTACGATTCGAATCGATTATTATCAAATCGACGTGATTTTTATCAAACGATTTTTTGGTATAATCGATCTTTTTTTTTAAATCGATGACCGATTTTATTTATACAGTTTTACAGGTTTATTTATTTGTTAGAATTTAGAATAAGAAAAAACACTTTAGTTTTGCTGGAATATTTGTTTGCAGTGCATCCCTAGTAAAAGGCCATCTAGCAATGAAAAATTAAGTGTAAGTGCTCGCTGCCGCATGCGCCGATGTTTGTTTATCACTTTGATATCAGGTGTCAGATTGTTGTCGGGGCTTCCCATATTTTTATATTTTAGATAACGTAGAATATTCTTTGATTTTACCTTAATTCTTTCTTGTACTTTTATTTTATTTTTGGGATATCCCTACTCCATACATTAAACATTTAGAAAATTGATTTATCTATCTTTATACAACCACCAAAACGTTGACCCATAATAGTAATACATCAGTCCAGTAGAGGACGCTAAGGTAAAAAATTTCTAAATAAAAATTTGTAATTTGTAATTCCTTCAGTGTTTTCTGAAATCGTTGTCGGGGTTGTGTCGGTTTTGAAGAAATGTCGAAGAAAACCCCGGACTGTCTACCATCAGCCTCCGGATATGAGTAGTTATTAAAGCAAGTTTTTTACATTTTTTATTGTATTTATGAGTTTAGTGTTTGATTATTATCATGTGAAAAATTTTAAATAATATTTTAAAAGTGATAGGCATGTGATAGGTTTGTGATGTTCAGTTTAATAGATATTTGGTGTGTATGTGTTTACGTATATATGTGCTGGATAAAAAACTTTCATTAAAAGGGTAAGCTCTAACTAAGCATTAAAGGTTATAATTGTTTATTGAAACGATTGAAAATATTTCCTAATATGGCGAAAAAAGAAGCTATAATTGTTAAGATTTATTTTTTCAGTTTACTCCACTGTAAAAAGTATTTAAAATATTGCGCGTTTCTCTAGAATTAGTAGAGCAATCTACACTAATATGAATAAAATGAATTTTCGTATTTTTTTCTGTAGCAACTTAAAATAATTGAATTTATAGATAAACATGCAGAATGTGGGTATGGTAGGAGGTGGCAACGTTGCATTCTCTCCGACACTCTCTATGCCCGGTAAACGAATTTCCCGGGGAGTGAACAGTGGCACTCAAAAGTTTTTCGACATTTTCCGGAAAATGTCAAGAAAAATATAAAATTTTCAACATTTTTTTTTCGCAAAAAAAACCTCATAGGCGTGTTTCTGGGGTTGAACTATACTACCAGTTAAAATATCTGCACTCATTTCTGGGACACCCTGTATAGGTGGTGATTTTAGTTGCCTTATCTATAAAATAAAAATTGTAAGAAAAGTCAGTGGCCTACATTTTTTCTTATTTTTTTGGATAAGGTGTCCTCTGGGACGCCACTGAAGTTAATAATTTAAATTTAATTACATCTAAATTAGGCTATTATTAGAAGTAATATTGACAGTGATGAAAGTCGGCTATTAGATAATTACAAAAAAAAATATTTTTTTCTTAACATCCTGTATATTTAAAACCATGCATTTCCAGACCTCTATTTATAGAAACTTTTTTCCATATTTTTAATGAAAAATCACCTCCTGAAATTTGGCCGCGCATAGTTTGAGCACTCTGTATATTGAAGATTACTTTTAAAATATTTGGATTTTACGTACCTTTCTAGAGTAACAAGTCTACCTTTTGTGTCCCCTGCATATATTTTCATCTGTATCACTAACACTGTAATTATATGTTTATTCAAAATTGCTTTAATGTGGCTCATGTAGGCATTTAGTTATTTTGCCTATTGTGCCTAATTTCTTGTCATTTTTTAAAATTTAAGTTAGTTTGTCTTTTTTAATAGTATCACTAACACTGTAATTATATGTTTGTTTATTCAAAATTGCTTTAATGTGGCTCATGTAGGCATTTAGTTATTTTGCCTATTGTGCCTAATTTCTTGTCATTTTTTAAAATTTAGTTTAGTTTGTCTTTTTTAGTAGTATCACTAACACTGTAATTATATGTTTATTCAAAATTGCTTTAATGTGGCTCATGTAGGCATTTAGTTATTTTGCCTATTGTGCCTAATTTCTTGTCATTTTTTAAAATTTAGTTTAGTTTGTCTTTTTTAGTAGTATCACTAACACTGTAATTATATGTTTATTCAAAATTGCTTTAATGTGGCTCATGTAGGCATTTAGTTATTTTGCCTATTGTGCCTAATTTCTTGTCATTTTTACATTTTTTAAAATTTAGTTTAGTTTGTCTTTTTTAGTAGAATCAGTAATATTTTAGATTTTGTATTTGGTGACATAATTTTGGGTCTTTTCTTATAGGAAACTAGAAAAAAATCGTTTTGTTGTTAAACTCAGTAACAGCTGACATTTCATTTATGATTTGCTATAAAATGAATATTATCTAATATACTTTCTGTAATGTCAAAAATGTTATTTAAATTAGAAATTGTTTATTTGTAATGTCTTTTAGAAAGATTGAGAACTATTTCTTCTGAGTTTTTAAGTTTTTTGTTTGTTTTTACTTTTTTGCTATTTTTATTATCTTATTTTCACTGTTTTTTATACTCAAATTTCTTTATTGTCTTTGATTTCCACATTTTGTTCCATTTTATCTTATTTTTTTGTTTGTGTTATATTTTAATTTGATTATTTTTTATTATAGGGAGGGGAAGGGATAGGAAAAAAGTTTAAGTAAAAAACGAATGTCTCAAGCAAAAATTTATTTGTAAATCTTAAAGGAACTAAAAAGTCCAATAAATGATAGTATGTATAACTATAAATGATAATTAGAAAATTACTTTTAATATAAGTACAAAATAACAAGTTAGGGCTAAAACCATTATTCATAATGCTTCAACGCATGCTACCTAGCTAGTAGCAATATGTTTTAGATGTCGCTAAGCTTATAGAGAATTGCCCTGTTACAAAAGATTCGTTCAATTCATCATATATTCCATACACATATGTACGTATATTTTAATATATGTATATATTTTTTGTATTTACTAACAAGACGATTATAAAGCGGGAAATATATCTCGGTATTTTCCTGTTATTTTGTAATAAACTATATATTTTTTTTCTTTTTTTTTCTTTATTTTTGGTTAACAGCGAGGTCAGGCGGCAGGTACAGATTGAAACTTTTTACTTTTTTACGTGTATAATTAATCTTGTTTCAAAAAAAAAATCTTCATCTTAACGAAACTAAATTCAGGTGAGCTTGTTTTAATAGTAAAAGAACAAAAACAGAAAAGAATTATTCGTCTTATTCAAAATTTATCACATTTAGTTTAAATAAGATTTTTTTGTCGTTTTCGGTTTTTCTAATTTTTTTTTCACTTTTATTTTTCATTATTTCGTTTTTCTGTTCTAGTTAATATTTTATCAAAAGTATAAAATACTGTATAATTATTATGAACACAACAATTCTCTTTATCTCACGACTCTTATGCAACTCGGCGCCTGCGCGGAAGACTTGGGAAAAACAGCTGTTTCGTGCGCAGGCGCCCTATTAATTCATTTTCTACTACAGCTAAATAAAAATAGAAATAGTATACAATAGAAACACTTATATTAATAATAAAAAATAATAAGAAACCGAATAAATCACACAACTCGGCCAATTGTCACTGAGCAATTATTATTTAGAACAATAACATACTAACAATTTCTTTTTATCCAAACAAATATGTTGGTTGTATTTTCTTTCTTGACTTGATCGTGTCATTTTCAGTGACACTTGACCGGTTCATATGTTAAAAATAAAAAAAATCGACACATTTGAGCAACACAGCTGTTTTGGCACCTTCAAAAACCTTGCTACTGCGGTGTCGACGATTAAACACTCTAACAAAAAGTTAATTAATAATAATCAAGATGTTTTATCTTAATTTATATACATATACAAAAGGGAATTGAAATCCAATGCGTAGAGCCACTGGTATGGCACTGGAGAGTAGCGTTTTGAAGGTTGACCACGACAAAGACAACACGGTCACTGAACCAAAACGAAAAAAATAAACAATCGTTTAATGTTTTCTCTTTTTATATACATAAAAAAAGAAAGATCGGGGCCTATATACAGAACCAACAAAATTTAAAACATCCTACTTATAGGAACGGGTACAATTACTATTACCCGTTCACAAAAAATTAAAAAAAAACTCTACAAGCCTAAATTTAGTTATTTTTTCTCATTATAAAATGTTTACACCATAATAAACAGTATTTACATTAATTTTAAAAAGCGTAAATAAATCCTTAACTAATAAAAATACAAAATGGCGCGAAAATAAAAAATCTGTTCTGCGCATATTCAATATTTTGAAAGTTTTCAGAATAGAGACTATTTATTTCACACAGCGTACTACTGCGATATCTGACGTATAAAAAATAACAAAAAAAAAACATTATCTAAATATTCTCCTTCCAAAAAAACATACTATACATAACTACTCGAAAGTATACTTCATGTTTATGCGCGAAAACAATTTTGATATAGAACACCAAAACGAATCTGCGCATCTCGCACCAATAATAACAGCCACTTTGATTAAACTTAAGCAGAATTCACTTCAAATTTATCATCCAAAACGTTGAATGAATTAATATAACAGAACTATATACAACATTCTTTCCTATCACAGAAAATGTATGTATATTTGACGTGGATATCGCTAACTAGTTTAAGTTACCAAATCCTTGTCAGTTTCTGCTTGTGTCAGATATCGCAGTGAACATTTTACATAGAAAGATATGTTAATTTGTAAAAGGAAATGTACATACTTACTGTGGCAATTTGAAAAAATAAACTGGTTCTATTGTGTCGTTGCAATCAAACTATCGGTTAAAAAATTTGCAAAAAGAAAAATAAATAGAAATAATTTCGAGACTTAACTTTTACAAAAAAAAAAGATATATAGCCGACAGCACAGATTGCAGTTTGTCGTGTTTTAATGTTGGTTTATACAGATAAATAACATAAGAGTTAAATATGAGATATCCCCTAGCAATTTTTTTTGTTGAAATTTCATATCAATTTATACTATAATTCAACAATTTCTAATTTTATAATTATTAACTAATTTATTTAATATTATATTTAGATGAATACTTTATAGTTAAATAATTTATGCATATTATATGCATGTAATGTATTTCCAATATATTCAAGTGTAAACTTCAGATAAGACTAATATCTTACTAAATTATAAGTTTACTCTAGATTTTAGACAAAAATCCCAACGAACAATATGTCAAATTTATTTAGTAGTCTAAATTTAATCTGAGTTTTAGAAAACTGATAAGTTTCTAAACAAAAAAGTTGATAAATTTAACTCCTTGCTCAATTTGAATTCTGCTATTTAAACTTCATTGGTTACGATAATACCACTACGCGTAGCTGATAACTATTTCAACTGTCATGTTATTTGTCTGTATACGTGTGTTAATTGGACTTATGGTAGTTCGAGTTGAAGAAAAAGAAATAAATAGGATTATAGCGGTATCACAATCGTATGTCATTTCATCACAAAAAATTAAAAAAAAACAATAAGTCAGTAAACTAATGCAAATTAAAAACATTCTATATAAAAATCCTTACGACCTAAAATTAACAAAGTTACAATAAAGAAAAACGAAAATAGTATTCTTTTCCCCATATTTTTTAAATTTTATATAATTAAATCACAGTTAATCGTAAAAATCGATCTATAGGTAATATATATAAAAAAAATCCGGCTAGAAAATTCACTAAAAACTTTCACCGCTTCTCGGTACCGCTCCAAACCAAACGTAGATGCAAAATCGTGCAGGACAGTGACGAAAACTCGTTCCGCGCAGCCGTTCAACGACGCGCTGCTAGGTTTCTGCGCAGCTGCGAGACCCTCTGGCGCAGCCACACCTGTCTCTTTCTCAAATCTTCCAATTGTTTGTTGTAGTTGGCGCTGGACCCAGTCAAATAGTAGCAGTACTGGGCCGCTTGCAGCAGAATGTTCACTTTAGCGATCTTCTTGGTGCCGGACACCTCGGGCACCACTGATTTCAAATTTTCAAATGCGATGCGCAGATCGACTCTGCGCTGCCGCTCCATGTCGTTGTGGAGGTGGCGCTTGTCGGTGGGTTCCCGGTTGGTGTCGTTCATTCTTCTGCGCTTGTAGCCGGCGTTGGTGCGCGTGCCTCTGCCTCTTTTACCGACGCGTCCGGGCTTGGGAGCGGCGATGGTACCGTTGGGTACGGGGTTTCTGACCGGAAGTAGGGTCTTGATGCCGTCGCCCATGTGTTTTCTGGACATGGCGGTTGCCATTCTTCTCTGGAGATTGTGCCGGTCGGTGTGGGATGGGTTGGTCGGCAAGGATAGTACCATGCGGCTGGCATTCGAGCCGAATTTGTCTGTCACCGAGACCACGTCGATCTCTTCTTCTTCTTCTGTAAAAGAAAAAAAAAGGAGATTAGTTAAGAATGATCGAGACTGGAGATCACGATGAATAATCAAAGAACAACATAACATATTTGCATTTCGTGATTCACCGAGGATGATTTAATTACCATAGAAAATAACAGTGCTTCATTGTTTAAAGAAGCATTAATAATATGGTTCAGGGACAGGATTTTTTAATTTGAACAATATTTTTTTGTATTAAATAAATTCTAAAATTTCACACTTCTTTCTCAAAAAATAATACCATTAAAGATGTTATATTTGACTGTAAAAAGAAAGCAACGAACTTTTAAGTTTAGTTTATATTAAAAGTTGGAAGAGTACCCTCTAAGGGTGGAGGGGTAAGTCATAAATTACGTTATTTCGATTCCTTCTTAAATTCCCTCATATATTTTCGGTCCTCTATATAACAATATAACTTTATATACTTAATGAATACAAAGAATACATAATAACAAATCCATAAATTATTTTTATATCTCGGTGCATATAAAAATGTGCACTTGAATAATAACAAATATTACGTAATAGTATTATTTTGTTTGCATTCTTATAGCTTATCTGCATCCGATAATTAATGAATAAATAAGAAATGTTTACTACGTGCAGCGAATTTCGTAGTAAATTAATATGTCATAATTCAAACAAAGGTTAAGAGAAAAACACAAATCCTTTGATATAAATGTACATAAAAGTAGGTATATGTAAAAAATGCGGCATTTGTGAAGTCCTTGCAAATATAAGATAGATCTATAAATTAGTTCGACAACATATCGAACAAACAATTCGTAGGATAATAAATAATAAAACTTTTCATGTCTACTTCCTATTTGTCTGCACCTGATAATTCAATAAAAAAAACATAGGTAGATAACACAATGTTTACCCGTGAGAAAAATCGAATAAATCTCATAATTAAGCACGCGTATTAAACTGTTATCATCTCGGGAGATTTTTTTCGAAAACAATGTCAAATATAGAAAAAAGAATGACACAAGGACGGTCTCAATCTTTCAAAATGACTGATACGCACTTAAAAATAAAAATATTTCATTTTGAAGGTGATTGGTGTTGTATAATGTAATTAATAAAAGATGCGCAGTTATAGTAAAATATTTTGATAAAAGTAATTACCAAATAAACAATAACAAATATTTGTATAGGTCTATATATAAAGCATCGTATGATCGAAAAATAAACGGCGTCATAGTGCTGTTTGAAATGATAATGATGATAATTAGATGCATTTGGCTCTTGTCTGTCCGGTATCTATAATAAGGCCTCCTCTGGACCCTCTTGACGTCACTAATATACAAGCAATAATACCTGTAAATACGTAGTTATATAATTAAATAAAATTAATGCTTTGTGATTACGTTACAATTGAAAATGACGGCGTCATGGTGGCTTTTGAATATCACGTATATGTATTCCCATTGATGATTTTGCAATACAAATGGAGAAAAACGAAAATATATACTATACACACTAGGGTGCACCAAAAATAGTTATTTTTTATACAAGCCGATAATATGGTATTTTATCGGCTTGTATAAAAAATAACTATAACAATATTTTTTCCATAACGAGTTACCTACGTTTTAAAAAATATTCAGAAATTATTATTTATATATATTGTCCTAAGGGGTGGGGTTGGTTTCTATGTAATTTGACAAATAAAGCTGTCTCTTTAGTTATCAGTTTTGAGTCAATATTTTTTAATTCTCTTTCGTGTCGATTGCTGATTGAATTGGAACCAGAAATGGCTCAAAACGAAATAAGTAAATTACCAACAGACACGCCGATGCGACAAACGTCATATCCAAACTACTTCCATTTAAATCCCGAATAACTTATGAAAAGGAATACAACAATTTTTAAAAATGTAAGCAATTAAAAGCGCGCGAGAAAAAATAAAGTTTTTAACCTATCCTCGCTGTTAAAGTATCATTTAATCTACCCTGGCGGTTAAAGTACTATGTTATCTACTATTTTTGATAGATATAAGGCAATTTTAACAGTTGCTATGGAAAAAAATTTTTTTAGCGCACCCTAATATACACATATTGACAAATATAATAAATAATATAATTGGGCTAGAGAATATATAGCTACTGGAGCGTATCGGAATTTCAACAATGCCAACTATCGAATGATTCAGGACGCGATTCCGGCTATCGTGACGTAATTCGACTGTTAAAAACGATACATAGAGCTCGTTGATTCACACGCAGACATAAAAAGCAATTGACCACCTACCCAATTACAGCAATTATCTGTCTGAGTCAAAGTATATATCATTATACAGGCGAAAAAGATGTATAATGTATATTAATATTATTCTGTAGGCTCAAGACACTTTTATGTTATTATCGAGTTTTCGATATCGTTAAGATAGAATTATCGCAAATTAATCTACGATAATTTTTAATTGGTGAAAGTTTTAATAGCGGCCACTTTCGGTTCGATCGTTTCCAGGTAGTATTACGAAATTCATAATTTTGACGGACAGATGACTTTATTACAAGTCCTTATTAATAATTAATATTTTTTTTTGGTACAAATATATCCTATACAATTAATTACTAAGATGTTTTAGTAATAACGCATTTTACAGATACACGAGAAAATAAGTCTAAGTAAGTAAGTTTTTACAAAAAGTGAAGCAGAAACGAATTTCAAAACAAAGTGTTTTATTGCTTTTCGAAATATTCGCCCTTAAGGTCTATACATTTTTGCATTTGCTCGAACCAATTCTGGAAACATTTTTGCCACTCTGAAGCTAATATCGTAGAAAGATGGTTTTGAAAGTATTCAATAGCTTCTTGAGGTGACGAAAATCGCTGTCTGCGCATTTTTTGTTTGACAGTAGGGAATAGGAAAAAGTCATTAGGCGATAAATCGCGTGAATACGGGCAAATGAGACATTAATTCGATGTTTTTCTCCTTCAAATATTTAGTTGTTTGACGTGCTTTTGGGAACTGGCATTGTCGCGATGAAGAACGATGCGACGTTTTTTGTTCTTTTTCCTTATTTCATCGAAGACCGTTTCAAAACAAATTGTTGTATTCCATTCGGTATTAACAGTTCTTCGATCCTCTAATGGAATGGTTGCGACGTGTCCAGTACAACCGAAGAAACAAGCGATTGTAAAAACTTAAAATGCAACCTATTGAATTTGTTTGTTGGAAAAATTTGTTTCAAAGTGGTAGGCAATGATGAATATAAAATAAAATATCTTCTTAGACTAACATCGTCAATTAAATCCTAAATGCTAAATATTGCGAAAATTTCCATATTTGGGATTGCCAAAAACGGATTCTTTAAGTTTACGTTTTTTCCAACGTGATTCCTCGAGGCTTCTAAGGCTTCCCACCACTCTATGTTGTGCTGCTTAGACGACACATGGTTTGTGTAGAACAATTAGATTACAAGAGCACTGAATGTGTGTCTCATCGCCTTATTGTAAAAGGAAACGTATTATGCAGTTTAGGGTTCAGAACCGGGAGTTCCCGGTTCTTTCGAGAAATCAAAGAACCGGGACTCGAAATTATTAATTCCCAGTTCTTTCGGTACTTTCGGGACTCGGTAATAATAATAAAAACATATTTTATGTTACGTGCGAAAGACTTTTGATACTTTCTAGCGGTCGAAATCAAACTTTCCTAAATAAGTAATGATGCTATTTCTTATTGTTCTTGCTTCATTTCTCTTTCGAAGTTCCTATAAATATATGCTAAGTATTAATAGATGTTTGCATTTTTAATTTAATATTTCATGGCTATTTTTGTCTCAAATTCAGTTAAGTTGGTTTATGTTGTTTGATGTGAAATTTAAGTTACCTATACTTTTTTCTTTACTTATGTTCATGTTAATTTTCTCATGACACAATATGATTTTCATTAAAAATCTCAATTTTTTATCCATTTTACTTTGAAAAACCATCCCTTGCTTTCTGATTGATGAACTGCACCACCATTGAACAAAAATTAGTCAGTACCGAAAGTACCGGAAAAAACCGGGAAATTTGAGGCGCTAAGGCGAAAATTGAGGTTCCTAAGAGGCGCGGTACCTAAGTCCCCGCTTCCTAAAAACAGATCTGGTTCCAGAAACCCTAATGCAGTTATGTTTTAAAGGATTTCGGTCAGTTTTCCGAATTAGCGGTACCTATATTATTATTCTCCCGCGTCAAAATAACACGACGGCCGGCGATGGCTCTGCCGATAATACCTGGCCGACGCGCATCGGCATTTCCTGCAGACGAGTGCAGACGGCGGCCGCAGGGGCCTTAACCTCAGCCGGAACGCGTCCACGCCGCGGAATGCCCCCGTCCCGATGGGCGTCGAGGTCGATCTCCTCCTGCCGCTCGCTGCTCCCGCTGCCTTTCACATTCCTGCGCGGGGCGACCCCGTAACGGCTCCTCTCTTGCCCGTTGCGTTGCCTCCTCGTCTTCTTCGGCTGATGGTCGGCCTCTTTTATTTGGCGAAAAAAACCGCCATGTTTTTTTCTCTCCTCATCTTTCTTATCTCGTTTAATTTCGTTGCATCGATTCGGCACGTTCAATTAGCTTGCCGATGAAGAAGTTTTTACAAAGATGTTCAATAAAGACTTCTTGCTAATAAAAACAGGTTAGCTATTTTTGATTGAACCAAATTAAAATTAGAAACTGTTTAATCTTGGATGATGTTAGAAACAAGTCGAAAATACAGTTAGTAATAAAAGTACAGTGACTACTAGTAGCTAACTGCTAACTACTGGTAGCCAATAGTGATTGATGGTAGTCAATAGTGTAGTCAATAGCCGTATTTGAAGTACTGATCACCGATGATACTGAGGTCACACAGGTCGACAACGTTAAATATTTAGGGTCAATCGTAACTAAACAGGGCATTGGAGAGGACGAAATTAAACTCCGCATTCAAGCTGGCAAGAGAATAGTGGGATGTTTGAATTCATCGTGGTGGGATCAGCATCTAAAAAAATCAA